TAAAAAATATTTCTGAAAAAAAAGAATTCTTGTTGCCATTCAACATGATACTGTTATTGTATTCTATCACACTTGTTCAGTATTAACAGTATTTGGAGCTGCAGAGGTGAACAAAAAAATAACACAAGAGGAAAAGGGGCTTTCTGTATTCCTCAGTGTAAACATCTTCACTTATATGTGAATTTAAAGGTCCCGATATGCATATACAAGTTCTGCTGTTCACAGTACATTGTATTCAGATACACAGAACTCTGTGTTTCCCAAAGTGCTCAGCAGGTTATGCTACTCAGTTTTGTCAGGACTGGGGCAATTTGAGGCATGTCAAGATGTACAAAAGAGGAGCCTGGGGAATAATAATGTGCAAAAAGGAAAACTCTAGATGCCTCCTGAGTTAAGCAGCAGGCAAGCAGGCATTTTCAACATTGTAATTTTGGAGACAGGTACCTAAGATCCACCTGCTTGCTGAAGCTTGCCAGGCCACTGCAGCTATTTTGCACAATTCTGTCACTTCAGCAAGCCAGCATGCAAATCCTCCCTGTTGCACCTTATGTGGACACACCTGCCCAGTTCAATGTCAAGCACAGAACTGAACAATGAGAGTTTCCTGCAGTTGAAAATAAAGAAAGGCTTACACGTGATTTGTCTGTCCTCAGCATATCATCCATGATCTCTTATGTGGCTGTTTCTAATTCTTGCACAGTTCTATTTTTTAGCAAATTTGATTCCCCCCCTGCCACCAAAACGGCAAGGTTATAGAAAATATCCACAATATCCTTTATTAAAACCTTTTAGTTACCAGTAAGTATTGATTAATATTAAAAATACCTATTTTGTATTATTTTTCTACCCTTCCATATTTTACAAAAGAATATATTATAAACTGAGAATTACCAAATTTAATCTTAATGAACATTTTAATAGTCAAGCTATAAACAGTAGATGTAACGATTTATAGAACAAACAGATCTTTCCTACAGCTATGCAAAAACAACTGCTAAAATAAAACAAACCTTATTTAATATAAAACTGTATCACAAACATTAAATACACACTAAAGGAGCATTTTTAGACTTTTTTTTTTCTCTAAGTGGCAGATGTTAGGAATAATAATCCTTAAAATCCTCTGAATTCTAAAAAGGTGTATCCCATAAAGCTCTCATTTAAATCTTCAACAGAGCTTAAAAACACTAGGCAGTGATAATGTTAAAATACTACTAGTAGCAAATTATTAGAATTAAATGAAATAATACTTGATATTGTAAAAATCCCTTTGAACGGCAACATTTCTCCCCTTAGATCTTTTTACTGCACTTCATGTACACTAAGCAAATGTAGTTACCTCCTGAATTACTGCATTTTTTATTCCACAAATTGAAGTGTGTGTAAATTCCTCTGCAAGAAAAAATATGCAACATCTGCCCTTTATGGGCAAGAGAATTTAATGTGTTCACCTTAAGAAAAAGAGACTCAGTAACAATGACCTTATCCTTTTTATAACTGGAGTATCTAGGGGAGGGAGGAAAACAAAACAAATAAAAATAGGTTAGAGGAAAACTAAACATCATTAAAAATCTTGTCCCAGTAGATCTTATTTTACAGTGGATCAGCAGTGTTTAAGGATGAAGAGCAAGCTATAAACTGCTTCAATAAAAGTCAATTAACCCCTCAGTGCTTGCAGTTATAGCTTGTTGTTCTTCCAACTGCGATGTGCAGTAGAACAGTCTAACCTCAAGAATTAAGGAGTTAAATACATACTGCAAGAGTAATTACCCACCGAGACTATAGTAGTCATTAATGAGTAACTAAAAGAAAATCCAGAGCTATTTTGTGTCTTTAAGAAATAGGCAATATAATACAAGGGAGTCTGTTTTCCATTCATCCCCTACTAATACTATTAATATCACTAGAATGGAAGACCTCTGGAAATAGATTTAAGTGTTTGGCGTTCTTTTTAGATGAAAAATAGTATGTGAATGATGGCTGCTCCTTCCTGAAGAGCAATATAGAACAACGTTCTGCTGTCAGAGCTGACTAGGAAATGCATTTCTTGTTTTGCTTGTATCAACATGAAGCTCTTCATTAAAATTATTGAGTGGGAATATACTTCGTGAAAGCTAATGGTTTAAGTAAGCATTTCTGAAGTGCTAAATTGTTTAAAGATTGGCCAAGTAGTATAAAAACTCAAGGCAATGAATTTTAGCCTTGTATTACTTTCCATATGCATTGAATGGGTTACCTTTGCAAACCATTTTTCAGAAAGATATGGCTCAACCAAGCCTGATTGTGACACAGATTATATTCTATGAAATCCTCCCAAAATCAGTCATGAAAACACTTAATTCTTCGGTCACCAAAAAGTCAATCCTCTTCTAGACATAATACAGAGTGTTTTAGTTTTGTACCACAATACAATGCAAAAAGAATTGGAAATAAATTAGGTCTACAGAATGAAACACATAGCACCTCCTTTGGAATATGTTAAAAACTCAAGGAATCCCCCACATACCGCAGCTTTTAGCACTCCAATTTGCATTTAATCAAGTATTCACCACTTTCAGTCATAAAGTACTCCCTAATTTCATATGGGTATTGGTAAAGTGCTACCTGCGGAGCCACTGACTTTCTCATTCATCAGACTCCTCGATTACCATTTGCATTTTCATCAGTGCCCTAACCATCATCTTCTCTGATCCTGTCTGGATTTGGTACTGTGCTTAAATGACATTTTAATCTCATAAGTAATCTTTAGTCTGAATCTGACCTCTTACGAGTGCCTGAGGCTATATGTAAATAACACGTATAAACCAATTTAAATATTTGTTTTAATGTTCTTGAATGGTCTAATTCTTCTTTAAGCATTCCTAATAGCACATAAAAAATCATCACTGATCCCTGAAGATGAACTCCCCAGTCATTTATTTATGATCATACTGCAAACACCACAGCACCCAGAGACGGTCGAACTGAACATATGAAGCAAAGCAACAACATGAAGGAGACTGCAAGACTGCAATTAAAGGAGATTAATATTATATTGGCTTTTTTTTTCTAATTTATTGTTCATTACAGCAGCAAATAAAAAGACCCATGTGCCTTCCTTTGTGCCACAGAAATATGTAAGTCTCAGCACATGCAGGAATAGTTTGTGACTTGCTAGAACAGTGTATGTGGCTGAAATACTCCATTGGGTATTTTATACAGCCCAAGTACCATATTCCTCCCTCAGATATTTCAACCTGACCCTTACTTAGATCAATGACACTTTATGTGATTCCTACTTAAATCAATGACACCACATAAAGATAACTGAAGGGATCGATTTCTTGACACTCCTACATGTATTTCACAGAGTTAATGAAATACATCATAAAAGCAAATTACATTCTGAAACAAAGGGTAACAAATTAGTGCATTTTCTCTAAAAATTAAAGATTTGCTCTCAACTGTATGACACAGAGGATAGTTCTGACTTGACTCCAGATCCTTTAAATCCTTTCTTTGTAGCCTATTTTGTATTTATTCTTTAGTCATTGTTAATGGAAATTATTGTGCCCATGCGTATCTACAGCCACAAATTTCTTTTCTTTTGCAGTTAAATTTTTCTGCAGTTCAGGAGACCAGAACTGGTCTCCTATCACAGGACTAGCTCACAGCTTTAGAATTCATTATAGTTAACTGCTCTTAGGGTGATTTTGGCTTGAAGGCTTTCAGAGGACTAGTGAATATTGTGGAAGTGTTAATAAAGCCAGTGTACTAAACCTTTGATATAGAAAATTAGCTTTTGTTTCAGACTAGATGCAGTGGGTAAAATGTTGCTCTAGGTAATACTCATGCAAGACTCAGCAGGGAATAAGGCTGTAATTAAAAGCAGCACGTGACCTCTAAAAGTAACTGTGGAAGCAAAAATATCAGCAGCCTTTTTGTGAATAGTAAGGTAGGAACACAAAATAAATACTATATTATTATTATTATACTATATTAATAATTGCCAATGAGTTCCAAGGCTCAAACTAGATTTCCAATAGAAATTTTTATGGAGATGTGGATTAGGTGTGTGAGAATGATCGAATACCTGAATACAGAACAAGGAAAAAGTTTGCCTTTGCAATCAGTGCTATCAACCAGCATCATGATACACTTACCTCAAAATGACTATGAAAAATAAAAAAATATATTTTTTTCATAGTATAGCAGGATGACCAAACATCGTTAACAAACATGATGCAGTTTTCCAAATTCTTTTTCTTGGATGTCAGTTCTGAAAAGATGCTCTTTATTAAGGAGTCTTCACTGCTAAGAGAGTGATGTTTGGAGAGGAAACTTCTAAGTGTCAGGAGAGCAAAAAGCGCCCAATGTCAGTATTGAAAGGTGTGTGTGGAAGAAAAGACATTACAGTTGTGTCCTCATGCTATACTGAGCCCATTATACAGCATTAAACAATTAAGTAGCTATGATGAAGCAATAAAAAGCTGCTACAGCACCCTAGTGCTATTTTAAATGCTCTATAAAAAGCAGCAGATTCTAGGTGCTAGCAAATCACTAGACAAAAATAAAATGATTTTCAGTTTACCTCAGTCCATATCAGCACAACAGTTGCTAAGGAATGTAAACATCCAAAGGTTTCCCAAAAGCTTGTATATAAATGAGAGTGTGGTTCTGTGTGGAGGCAAATGTGCCTGTGGAAATCCTAGGAAAACTCTTAGAGATGAACCTCAAGGCAGTAGCTGCATTGAACAGCGCTTTCCTTTAGAGAAAAAAATAAAGCTTTGCTTTAGAAAAAGCTCAGGCATTTGTTAAGCAAGGTAAAGATGAAGTCAGTTTGCTATAATGACAGTGCTTAGGCAGTAACGATAGATTGCTTGTACCAAACGATACGTTCCCAAAAGCCGGGAAGCAAATGTGTTAGTATACAGAACACACTTTCCAGATATCTGGAATGCAGATTAATGGTGTTGATTAACTTCCACACATCAAATGCAAATAAGAAACTATTTTTCCAGAGCTGGCTAAAGTTCAAAAACCTGAGAACAAGGTGAACTTAAATCATCTCCAGCATCAGACACTGAAGGGCTGCACTAAGACATCCTGGTAAGTCTTTTCTGCATCTTTCTCCTTGAGATATGCTATAAACTAATTGCACAATATGCTACCATTTGTCAGTGGAGAGCAACACTTTTAGAGCATAGGAAGAAGGGTTTTCTACCTCTCATCAATTGTTTTCTCCTATTGATTTTTTTGTTTATTCAAGGAGAATATATTCACAGGATCAAAGGAAATGACTAGTTTTGTAAAATCTCTCAGATTGCTGAATTAAAATACACTTGGAAGGGAGAGTGAGAACAAGTGCTTGTCAGCAGGTAATTCAGATTCCAATTCTACAAACATTCTTTTCTGAGGATTGTTTTATTTTCTTCACCTTTTCCATGAAAAATGTTCCCTTAGAATTACACATTTTAGGAAGCCTGTAGCATGTGGCAGGTAGGTTGAAGCATGTCTGTTATACATACCTACAGAACTGCTACAGAACTAAGCTCACACACTGTTGCAGGAAACAAAAAAAGATTACCTTCCCCATGTTTCTCTTTATTAATAAAAGCAAACAGGATTAGAGCAAGTATTCTGTGTGGTTTAACTCTTGCTAGGATTCTGTTATAGGATGGACACATGTCATTTTTAAGTTTTCTCTACCCAGAAGAACCAATTATATTAACCATTAGTTTTCAGCTATATGTGTCTTAAAACTGGTAAAGCAACAGAACATACCTGTTTCTTTTGCAGCAGAAAAATACTTCCCAGCATGATGGAGAGGGAGTGGCAAAACTAGCTACTGCTCCTATAAGATACCTAGTAGAAAAGTAAAACCAATTTAAAAAAATTTTTTAAATGAGGATTACTCAATATCTTCTCATATTAACACTAAATATGATTAATTCTAATAGAGAGAGAGATGGAATCAAATCTAATTTTTATATAAAAGAAGCATGTATCATAGTAGGGATAAAAGAAAATAAATTGTTTTTCTGGCTGATGAGAAAGGAGGAAAGCAATAAGGTCATTAGCTGAATTATGGGACAAGACTGTTTAATGAAATATAACTGGCAAAAGTGTATTTAGCACTTAGAAGTTATTAAAAATGCATATAAACACTGCTGATAATACTGATTAGTATACACATTTTTCAGGACGTCTACAACTTGCAGTCACAGAGACAGACTCATCATTAGGAAGAAGTATCCGTGTATCTGTCCTGTGTATCTGGACCTTGGACAAACATTTGGCTCTGACCCTCGGACAAATCTCACTTCACATGGAATTTGATATGAAAAGGAAATACAAATGGTGTTTTGTGGAACTCATTTGCAACTGTACTCTGAAAGACCAGCGACAGAGGACTGTAAGACACCTTCTTCCTCTAGATATTTTTGTGAACTGTGGGGCCTATCAGTTGTAAAAGTGGAAATTAGATTGTGTTCCTTAGTAATGAGAACTTTGTTCAGTGAAAGAAAAATATACCTTTGGTGGGAATATCCTCTGTCTCTGTGCCAGCCTGATCTCCAAAGTTCAATAGAGTGAGGACACCCTGCCATGGATCAGCCAGGACTCTGTAGCACGGAGTTATGGTTGCCATGAGAAAGGGAGAATCTTTAAATTGAATTACAATTTGGAAGAAAAATCTGCAAGAACCTATAATCCCACTGAGTTCTATTTCCTGCCTGTCTTGTCTTCCCTTTCATCGTTTATATACCTCTTTAGAGCAAGACTGACCGTTCTGGAGTGAATAATGCTTATTAAGGTCTGATGAAGTTAGTTTGTAAAGTGAGATAAAAGGCAAAGAATAGCAAAGGCTACGGAAATGGCTAGAGAGGCCATTACTCTATTGATATGATTAATCTTGCACTTAGGCCTTCTTCAAAGAACAGCATTTAGCTAAATTATCAAGAACCATTTAGCAAAAAGAAGATCTACTCAAGTTAATATAGCAGGATGTTTGCCTTGGACATCCACTTAAAAAATGTATTTTGCATATATTGGCTTGACAGGGACTCAGTCTTCACACTTCGCAGTCATTCTCAAGGCAGAGGCACTTCTCAAGACTAACACTTTTTATTGTTCCTATTGCTGCTTTCCCTTGGGTCAGGCTCAAAATCAAAAGCCTGAATCAAGATCAAAAATAGATAGTGCAGTTTCCGTGACTAACGAGCAGACAGAATTATCTTTAACATTATCATCCTTTAGGTTTATAATCATTATCAGGCCCTATACCTTTCAAATCTCTGTTGACCCATATAGGATACTTACAGGCAGAGACATAATCTGATAAAGTATAATTTTATTTTCTACCAGAACATAAAATTTTATGGGTAGCAAATAATAACACACCTAATGAAATCTACCATAATAAATGACAAGATCATATGACAATGTAACTGACCAAAGGCAAGAACCAATAACTTACCCTTCAGTTATTGGACAAGGCTATTTATCAATATGGTCAAGCTGAGTTCTTGCAGTATATATTATTCAGACCCGCACTGAGAATTTCTGCTATTTTATGTAACACAGATCTTAAGAGCTTACAGCTATTTATTTCATTATCAAAAACAGATCATTAGTAGCATAATTTTGGTACGAGTCTATACTATACCTAAAGAAGGAGACGAAAGAAGTAATGGAGTATGAAGATTTTTTTTTTTCAGAAACACGTTTATTGTTTCAGGGAGTTGGACAGATCCAGGAGATGACAGTAGCTCCATGGGTTCTACCAGCCCCAGGAGAGCCCAGCTGCCTCTCAGGACTGCCAGGAACAGGGTGCTGTTCATGAGCTTTGCAAGACTTGAGAATCCCATGTTTGCCACTCTGGCTTTATCATTTTCTTAAGCATTTTATCTGTGAACATTTCCATTCTAATGCCAATCCCTTGTCAAGTAGCCTGACACAGGTCTTCAGGACTAAAACTTATTCAGTCCAGTACTGTAGATTTTGCTATTGAAATTACATAAACCAGTATTATCTTTGAAATACTGAAACACCCAGCAACTACCCTGTGTTGAGGGTAATTTGGAATGATGTCATGTCTTCAAATTAACTTTATTGCTAACATTAGCATTGGTATTTATGCATGTTTTCATTTTAAAGAGGCTTTTGAGGGAAAGCACAGAAGTTCATTTTTGAGCTAAGATCTATAATAACATCTTTTAATACATCTTTTAGGTCCTTTCAATATTAAAATATTTAATATGCTTATTCATGGTCTGATTTTCCATTCCTTTATTTAACTAGGAGAGTTACAATTGCTGTATTAACCCAGGACCATGTGAGCAGACTCATAAAAATGGATGGCATGATCATATCTGGAATTTACCCACGACCCTATTCAATAAAGTATATTCTGTCCTTACAGTAATTTCATCCTCTAGAGCTTTAAGATCTTTCAAGTGAAATAAAGATGTTGCTATAATGACAGTGAATGTAATGAGATTAAATGTAGTAGGAAGTCAAGGTAAATGGCCTTACATCAGAAAGAATGTAGTAACACGGATTCTTATAATGAAGACAAAGGATATTACCAGCCCCTTTTGCTACATTTCTTTGGCAAAGCAAGGCCACAGCGGGACATGCCATGCAATACAGATTCTGTGTTCCTTTCAGGGTCTTGCATTTAATAAAAGCTGCATGCTTCTAGACATAAAGGAGTAACTGAAAAAAAATATCCTTAACAACCATGATGTGTATTGGCAGTAAGTAACTTCTCTAAAAAGCTTAAATTCAGTTTTTGGAGGAATTAAAAGAATTTATTTTAAACAAGTGCATTAAAAATGGGACTACATTTTATATGGAATCTAAACAATCATATTGGCAAATTCAAAGCTAAAAAAAGGTCTATCCAAACAAAGAAATGCATACACACATTTTGTAGGCCTTTTCCCTCAAGCAGAACGCAACTAATTCTAAAATTTACTTTTATTCTGTGCCCTCCAGAATTTGTGAAGGAGCTTATTAATAATTTTGCCTCATTTAACTTGAGTGTCTGCGTTTATATACATGAAATTAAGAGGAGACTCAAGAGTCACAAAGGTTAGCAAGATTACAGAATGTTACCGTACTGTCTGGGGTTTTTGCAATAATATTACCACTGGTCATGATATTAACTTTAATCTTAATGACATCTAGCTTAACATGCCAACCTACACTGGAAAATAAGTAGCAACACACCATATCTTAGGTACTATATAGTTCTAATAGATAATTTTTTTTTCTAACTAAAGCTAGTCAAATATCAGTGATTTGTCAAAGAAATACTACTTTATCTCAAGCAGAAAATGTAAGTTAGTAGACATAACTGTCATGAAAATGGGTAGTTGTTTGCTCTAGTTATTTATTTCACCTGTTAAAATCAATAGCTATTGAAGATGAGATTTTTCAAAAGTGGATTTTAATGAGAATTGGATATCAGAATTCCCCAATTAGCTTTAAAAACATAAACACTAAAATCTAAATTACTTCTTAAAGTGACACATTTCTCAAAGATTCAGATGCAATTCGTTCCCTAGAAATGCACCAGTACTTGTACATGGAAATTAGTTCCTCTCCATGTAAATAGCGAGCTAGCTGTGTAGCATTTTATGTGTGCATTTGATCAGTAAATTCACACAGAAAAAATCACTAGGGATCATAGGTGGACGGTCGTATACCCTAATCAATTTGGATATTTATAGGTCTAAAGATGCTTACCAGTCTACCTGATTAGAAAGCAAATCAGGTAAAAAAGACAGAAATAAAAATGCAAACAGCAAGATCAACATAAGTTCACAGTGGAACATATGATAGGCCTCTATTTAGTAACTGCTTTCAAAAACAGTAATATGAATGATAATTTCTTTTTGCATAAGACCTTAAATGCTACATAAAATCATTTGATCCTGAAAGGAGAGCAGTCAGACAGAATCTCACCTTTAAGTATGGGACAGCACGAAATGAAAATCTTCCCACTCAGGTAATGCACTGGCACCAATTAAACAAACTGCTTTAAAATCACACCAGAACTTATGCTAATATAGTTATCTCTAATAAGCAACTCCAACACCCTTGACATTTTGTCCTGGTGGGCTTTGCCATCTGCTTTTCCTCTTTGGTGACGCCACTATGACGATTCCATCCGTCCTCTGGAAGATGAGGGAAGGCTTGTTACTTCTTAAATGCTGCATGATACTACACAAATTTGTCCTGCCTGTCCAGGTATAGCCTTCATAGGATGATCAAACAAAGGACCATTTGGGTCACCATACTGTTCTGTAATTTCACCTCAGCAAGTGCTATAACTCACACTCCTTTATTTGGCCCCATCACTGAATGTTTGCTATTGCTAACAAAAAAATAAATCTGTTTTGTTTACTTGGAATGGCTGCTGTAACCAAAAACAAACTACTTGGGGAGTATTAAAGTATTAAAAGTCACCTTTTAAAACTCAAGAAAGTGGAGAGAATCACCTATACATCATATTTAAATGACTGAGAAGCCCCAGACACTTCCTTGTCCAAATAGTTTATCCAAATATCTTACAAGCATTAACCACACATACAAACCTCAGCACCAACACTGAGTTCCACCTGCACGGCAGCAGAGGAGGCCTGAAGTCCTCATGTCCTAATATTTTATATAAAACAAACTGATAAACCCTAAATTTTCTAGATAAAGTGTTTCTTCATTTAAACACAATTTTGCTTATTCAGGGACCTTCCTCATGCACAATTCTGTTGCAATCAAAGCAAATTAGAAGAAATGAGATTATAAAAGCCTGCTGTACTTCCAGTCCACATTCAAGTGACATGTGAAATACTGGCATGTCATGGAGCCTAAACAAGAATTTTGCAGAACTGTTTACATACTGGTTTGTGTGAAAATGGGAACTTCATCATCTCCTGTTTGCAGTCATTCTAACACTTACAGTTTGAAGCTGAAAAGCAAGCAGTAGCATTTAGGAATTCAAAGAGAGTCCTTTAGGAAACTCCATACTGATATTCAGACAACAACAACAGAAAGGGGAAACAATACGCTCCTCACACACTCCCCTGGAATACAGCGCAATACAGTAGTACCAAGAAAGGCTGTTTCTTAGGAAGCAACGATCGAAGGAAGACACCTCTTACTAGAAAATCAAACTCTGTCAGTCCTGTTTGCACAGGAGAACCACACTTAACAAACACAGAATTAAATGCAAAATATTCTCTGATTTCCTGGTAGGCTCTTGTCACTCCTCCCAAAAAATTCATCAGAAATTTAATTAAGCAACAGAACTGCTGGGAAGGTCAGAATGCTGAAGTATTCTTATCTTTGAGTTTTGGTTGTTTCTCAGGTACCACAGCAATAGTGATCAAATAAAAGGGACAATTAGGTTAGTCAGAATGAGAAGTAGAGTGACTCTATCTGTGTCACTAGAATTTGTCTCCAAGAAAACGTCAATGAGCAGAGCCTATTACTGCTCCGCTCCAACTGATGAAATGCTTTAACTCTGGCATGTCCTGCTGTTTTGTGAGTAAGGAAAACAGCAATATATTACTCCACTACAATTAAGGTTCTGGGAGCTAAATTTGAGCATTATTGGGAAACAGACAAGTGGAACAGCAATCGCTAGACATCAGTTGTGGTTTAAAATGACTTTTAAAAAGGAGGGAGGGAAGAAGGGGCGGAGGGGAAGGGAAAGAGAGAGTGTGATTCAGTACGCCCTATGTTGTTTGATGGCTGTTTTGAATATTTATGCATTTTCTTTCTTTTGATTCTCTTCAGTATTGGTTCCCTTTTCTGATCATCACCACTTTGATCCCTCCTTTATTGCCATTACAAAACCATGACAAATTTCACCTTCTGAATCTTTTGTGTGTGTGTGTGTTTTAATTAAGATAAAAAAAGATTAAAGGTTAAATTACAATAAAAACAAAAATATTGAGAATTTCCCCTTCTTACAAAGAGAATGGTTCCTATAGCAAGATTTCAAATGGACTCAGACAGGGTTATGGTAAGAAAATCTGAAGAAAGAGATATGCAAGTTTGGAAAAGTCACCTGCTAAGCAAAAGTATGAGTAATTTTTAAAAATCCACATCCTGCTGAAGGAATATTCATAATATATAGCTAAGATTTTGCTAGTAAGAAAAAATATATTATTCCCAGAAGAAAATTTTTATGTTATTTTGGATATATTTTGTTCAAATTCCCATAATTTTCTGTACTTTTACATAAACTCAAAATATGAGTGGACAGGAGGGAAAGTGGCAGCATACACACCTATGGAAAATGATGGCTGATACCTTGGTGAGCAATGTTCCCTCTGGCAGGAAGGCAAGTATTTAGTGGGATGCTGGAAGCAAAACACCAGGCTGGGTGAGGAAGTCGTCCTTTCCAGAGGAAGCCTGGTTATTTTCAGCACACTCTGAACATCAGAGCAGATGACACCTACAAGGTGCTCTGCAATGTAAAATGCTCTCAGGAAATACTTCAGTGTGGGTCAAACAGATCTTCATGCTATTCATGAAAATGAAACGGAGAGTTGCAGATCTCACTTTGAATATTTCAATTCCTTCAGCATTGTTGGATATCATCTTGGGAACAGTTTGACTTAGACTTTCTTG